AATCTCAGGAAGTCCAACATTTTACTGACCACATCAACTCTGTGGATAAATACATCAAGTTCACACGAGAAGATGTAAAAAATGGCAGGTTGGCTTTCTTGGACTGTGAGGTCTCAGTCTCTGATAGAGGACATTTGCAAACTGAGGTATACCGCAAAACCACCCACACAGACCAGTATTTGCAGTTTGACTCCCATCACCCTTTGGAGCACAAGTTAGAAGTCATCAGGACTCTGTATCACAGAGCAGACAGCGTCCCCACTAGCTCGGGAGCAAGGCAGAAGGAGAAATCCCACACAAGACAGGCTCTAGAGCAATGTGGATATCCTAACTGGGCCTTCCTGAAAGCAGAGAAGAAACCCAAACAGGACTCCAGTCAGCCAACAGGTGAAAAGGAGGAACCCAGACCCAGACCAGTGGTCATTCCATATGTTGAGGGGGTATCAGAGAAACTGAGACGTTTATTTTCTAAACATAACGTCCCAGTGGCTTTTAAACCCCAAAATACATTACGGCAAAAACTGGTTCATCCCAAAGATCCAGTCCCCCGGCACAAACAGAGTAATGTTGTGTATGCTGTTCAGTGTCAGGAGGGCTGTGATCAGTCTTACATTGGGGAAACAAAACTGCCATTGGCCAAAAGGATGGCCCAGCACAGAAGATCAACATCATCAGGCCAGGACTCTGCTTTCTACACTCATCTCCAGGCCAGTGGTCACTCTTTCAGGGATGAAGATGTTCACATCTTGGACAGAGAGGAACGATGGTTTGAGAGAGGAGTAAAGGAGGCCATCTTTGTGAAAAGAAATCGTCCATCGTTAAACAGGGGTGGAGGCCTCCGGGTTCAACTGTCCCCCTCTTACAATGCTGTGATTGCTAGTATCACTCAGCCCTCTGTGAACAGTAAACAGCCATCAGTGTGCTAATGATCCATTGTTAGGCTGATGGTCCTTCTTGAGCATGTGATCAGCTGGTTTTGGTTGTCAGCAGCAAAACTGGTTGATCCACTCTGAGACGGTGCTATTTAAGAGACTGAGCTGAATACAGCTCCTCAGACTGAGGAAGTCTCTCGGATGAGAGACGAAACATTTCTACATTTTTTGTTGATTTGCTTTGTTTTGTTTTTTTGAATGTCCAGAGGACCAGATTTAACTTTTTTAGATTTTTCTACCTGGATTATTGAGCATGCATCAGGATATTTTGGGTACATCATTAGTGAGCACTTCTAGACACACTGGTATTGTTGTTTAACTTTTGACTCCAGTGCGTCCCCTACATTATTCCAACAGTTATATCTCAGTGAAATATCACCCAATTTGTACCAGATTTTATCTGTGTGATCAGTGAGCACTTATAGACACGTTGATATTGTTCTTTAAAATTTGACTCAAGTGTGCCCCTAGATTATTCCAACAGTTATATCTCAGTGAAATATCATCCTATGTGAACCTGAATTTTTGTGCATAATCAGTGACTACATCTAGACACACCGATATTGTGGTTTAACATATGACTCAAGTGCGCCCCTTAGATTATTCCAAGAGTTATATCTCAGTGAAATATCATCCGATCTTGGAAAGATTTTTGGTACGTCATTAGTGAACATTTCTACACACACTGATATTGTTCTTTAACATTGGACTCCATTGCACCCTCTACATTATTCCAAAAGTTATATCTCAATGATACATCATACAATCTGATCCTGAGTTTTTGTGCCTAATCAATGAGCACTTGTAGACGCATTTGTATTGATGACATCACTTAAGCCCCACCTACTCAGAGAATAAACTGTTGATTATTGGATGACACTTCCAGCTTCACACTGTGTAAGATATTAGACTGAAACTTTGTTCACTAACTGTTGATTACCACACATGACATGTTGAAAAGCATAAAGGAAGTCATTGTCAAACATTCGCCACAAAACAGGAAGTCACCATAACTCCTGTCTGCAAGGTCAGATTTTGCCTATACTTGTAAGACCTGAAGCTGGACAAGTAACGATATGGACGGAAGGCCATGTTTAATATTCGGGAAATGCACCCCGTGGTGAACGCGTGCGGAATTGGCACGAGAGTGCTCACGATGGCGACTGGGTGGATTAGCTGGAGCTCCCGTAAGGCCGGAGCGGCGCTTTGCTGCGAGGGCCTCCAATGATGCTTGCAGCTTTAATTGTTTTTTTTTTATTCCACCTTTATTTACACAAATAAATCACATTGAGCCTCAAGACTCATTTACAAGTGAGACCTGTTTAGACGGACAAAAAGTAATGAAGTGACATATGTATAGGATTTGGAGGCAAAAAAAAATCCTATCAAACTCTCACTTCTTGGCTGAGGAAAGAAAGCATGAGATTGAAAAAACACCCCCGCACATAGGCACATAGTAATGCAGACATTCCGCAGGGGAGGGGAGATGACAAGAGCAGTGAATGTGTCCAAGGACACCCCAGAGGCACTGTAGGAGTTCTTTTTTTTTTTTTCCCTTGTCCTGTCTGGCATTGTGACACTTAGAATTATTGTCTGAGTGTCAAAGATTTACTTTCACAAGCAGAGCATGGTCTTAATGCTCCACTTGATATATAAATTAGATTTTATTAGAATATGCTTTGGGTTTGTTTCAGATGTAATGAACATGGGGACGGAAAACAAAGAAGATAACAAAGCAGAAAAGTGAGAGAAAAGTTAAAATGTAAAGAAGGAGATAGGAATAGAGGAGAGAGAGAGGGATAAAGAGAACACAAATCAACATCATTGAAGTCTGCCTCTAGACCTACGGAATGAGAAAAAAAACCCAGACAAAACCAAGAAACCACAACAACAAACAACTTATATAATGATAGTTATAACATCATTAGAAAGTATTTTATACATTACATGGTAATACAATATATATTTGATGGCCACCACAACCCAACTGAGTGTGTATCTGATAAACACCTGAATCTAAACACCTGTGTGAGCATGCGTATCACTATAAGGTTTCTCATAAAAATGTTCAATAGTGGATGTGAGGACCCATAAACCCGTCCCCGTAGGACACGAAGGTAACACAGGGAAGCCCGGAACCACAGACACACAGCGGCCCCCAAGCCCGGAACTCCGGTAGTCCCCCAACAGGGACACCCGCACCACACAGAGAGAAGCAAAGGGAAGCCCCGGGCGATCCCCAGCAACCACAATGCAGAAACCCCCAGGAGGCCGTAGCGACGAGTCAACATGCCCCGTCGGCAACCTGCCCCTCCAGAGTGGATCCGGCCATGGACACCAAGCCCCGAGTCCAGAGGTCATACCACCCCCCAACAGAGGCCCAACAGAGCCAGGGCACCCAGGCCCCCACAGGCAGCCACCAGGGCGGGCCTGCACACACCCCACCACCCAGCCCCAGCTGCTGAGAGCCGCCAATGCACCGGCGGCCGGGGGGACCACCACCGGGGGGGAGCACGACCCACCAAATGGGGGGCCAAAACTGGTCCAAGAGAGGAGGGCCACCCAAAACCACCACCTTCTAATGGCCCCAGGAATCCATGACATATCCAGCTGCATGTGTCACTAGGGCAAGTCGACTCACCTGAAGCTTGTCTTCTTGTCGAGAAAATTTTATCAATTTCATTGAGAGACCAGCTGACCAGATCCATAGTAAAAATTATGGTTCGGAAGATATGTAAAGAGAGGCTCTGAAACAGTTTCACAGACTTGATAGAGCAAAAGCAAAGCAGAAGAGGGAGAGGAGGGGAAAAGTGTTCGCCCTTGACAAGAGCAAGTGGTGAAGTGACGTATTCTGTAGCTTTGTCGGAGTCAACAAACACCTTGTCTGTCCCACCTTGCGTGATGCGAAGCCGTGCAGGAAAAAGAAGTCCATACACCTGCATGGTTCTGCAGGAGTCACCTCACCTCCGTGAATGCTGCTCATGCCTTTGTCCTGCTTGGTGTGTAGCCTGCGATGAATATGCATGATTCTTTGAAGTGGATCGGGCCTCTGCTACGTGTTTGGTATAATATCTCCAGGCAATCCTGATAATAATGTAGCCTGGCCCCGATAGCTCTCAATTTATCATCCGAGCCTCTCCTGCCCAGTGTCTGGTGTACGTGATCAATCAATGGTGACTTGTCAAGCTCCAGCACCTCCATTAGGATTTTGGCTAACACTTAAGATGTGCATGGGTCTGGCAGCTCAGGAACTCCAACAATCCTAATATTGTTACATTTCATATTCCCCTCCACAGATTCAAACTTCTTCATCCCCTCCAGTTCAGATTTTAATTCCATCACAGTTCCGCGGAGAGCCTCCACCTCATCTGAGCACACAGTGTCCATTTTCAACCTGTGTGATATTTAGTTTAACTTGGTCAAGTTCAGCTCTGAGCAATGCAATGTTTACAGAAAGCTTCTCTCTCACTGCTTGTAATTTGCTCCTAATAAAATTAAAACCATCCATTAGGGTTGCTTTCATTTCCATCCTAATTATCGCCACAACTTCAGACTTAATTAATACCAGAATGTCTGACTTCAGAGCTAACCCAGCTGTCTCTCCAGAAGACGGCGAAGGCAGAGACGATACACTTGTTGAAGTCATCCCATCTGCTGCAGCAGGTTCACCTTGGACAGGGGCTGAAACAGTATCTCTGGGTCACGTGGGCAGGGGCATCACAGTCTTAGATTTTTTCTATTTAGAGGCCATATTACAGCTCCATTGTAAAATTCCAGCGACAACACCAACTTCAGAAAACGATTTCACCACAGAGAAAGTGGAAATTTAAACATAAAGGCAGCTTGTCAGGTGGGTCTGACGGGAGTCCAGCAAAACGTCACTAATGCTCTGCTGCCATCTTGTGAACTCTCTACTTTTCACTATTTTAAATGAACTTATACCAGTGTGATATGGATTCAGAAAAGTTTTTCTGTTTTCAGTTAGCTTTTCCATAGATTGTAATATCATGAAATACATATTTCTGTTCTGTTTAAAATTTAATTATTTGTTTATTTGTCTTGTCTCAGGGTAACGATGATATTTATTTTTGTGGTATAAGCAATACTGGACAAGTGTCAGTTCAACATGCCTTTTCAACAGGACACATATCTCCACTAACTGTAGCTCTGGTAAGACAGTTTTTCTATTATTGGTGTGCATCAAGATTCTATTTCTTCTTCTGCCATTTTTTTCTGCTAAACTACACTTGCATATTTCTTATAGCACATATTCAAATGTCAAATTGTTTGACTCATTCAGGATGGTGGCTACGTCCTTTGGTTCACATAAAAAATACAACTAAACATAAAAATTAAAAAAGGCATTAAAAAATACATAAAGACCTGGATGACCCTAAATTTTCTTTTTTTGAATACAGACAAGATTGAGGTTTTGGTTTTTGGACCTGAGCGTTTTAGGAATAAAAATTTCAGTCTTTCTCCCTCCTTGGATGACATTAATCTGGCCTCCAGCTCTAATGTTAAAAATGTTGGTGTTATTTTTGATCAGGACATGTCTTTTAACCACCACATTAAAAACATTACTAGAATTGCCTTCTTCAATCTGTGTAATATCACTAAAATTAGAAACATCTCATCTATAAATTATGCAGAAAAACTGGTCCATGCATTTGTCACGTCTAGACTGGACTATTGCAATGGTTTATTATCTGGGTGTCCAAATACTTCTTTAAAACATCTTGAGTTGATCCAAAATGCTGCTGCCAGAGTCTTAACTGGAGTTAGTAGGAGAGATCATATCTCTCCAGTTTTAGCTTCTCTCCATTGGCTCCCTGTCAAAGAATTTGATTCAAAATTTTACTTCTAACCTACAAAGTACAAAGCTCTCAACAACCTAGCTCCATCTTATATTTAAGATCTTATTCTTCAATATTTTCCTAACAGAGCACTTTGTTCTCAAACTGTCATGCTCCTCTCTTGTGGAACCAACTTCCATTTTCTGTCCATGAAGCTGACACATTGTCCAGTTTTAAGACTGGGCTTAAGACGTTCCTTTTTAATAAAGCCTATAATTAGGGTTTGCTTGTTATGCTGCTATTGGCTTAGACTACTAGAGGACAAATTGACCTCATTTCCTTAAATGAATAGTTAAAATTGAATAGTTTTCATTTGATACTATTTCTATCTTAACATGTGATTCTTGACCTGCCATTGTGTATCTGTTCCTCTTTCCTGTTCCTCTCAAACACAGCTGGTCGAAGCAAATGGCTGCTTGTCCTGAGCCTGGTTCTGCTAGAACAGGGGTGGGCAAACGTTTGGACTCACGGGCCACACAGGGTTCTAAAATTGGAGCAAAGGACTGGGCCAGGAACAGATGAATGGAGTGTTTATGTGATGTTACACCCCGGCTCAATAACAGCCACCGGAACATAATTAATTATGGGCGATTCCACCTTATGCACCACTCAAGCAGCCATGGAGTCTGGATTATATGATAGAACAGTGATTTTATTTACAATAGTGAAATTATTGACTTTGTGGAGTCTTACCAACTTCAGGGCGAGCCCAGGCCAAAAGCACACATCTCTTACCTCAAGATGCTAATGAAAAACTCGAGAGAAGTCAAAATAAAGTGGCAGCCTCTCTCTTTAAACTCCTCACAAAATTTTTACAACTACGGGAGCTAAAGTTTTTTATTTTTTATTTTACCTTTATTTTACCAGGATAAAAAACACATTGAGATTAAAAACCTCTTTTTCAAGGGAGACCTGGATGACAGCAGGTCAGCTGTAGCAGGATGGGAATGGAAGCCAACGACATCACTTCTGCAGCTCCTCTTATGCAGCATCACAGCAGAGTATCTAGACAATAATTCACACACAAGGTTTTGTCTTTTACATTTTTTTTTTTTACAATTCACACACAAATAACAGTTTCACACATATAGCATGACTTACAAAGTGATTCCTGATGGATGATGCAATGAAGAAAAATAACATCCTGGTCTGGGTTTTCCTCTTTCACTTTATCCTGGATTCTTTTCAGCAGCCCAACGTTTTTTAGTTAAATTTCGTGATCCATCCATTGTGATATTAGGAAGTTTACTCCAGATAAGTTAATTCTATTGATGACAGCATGCACCTGGTTATAAAAATCCTCTCCCCATGTTTTTCCTTTCAGAGACTCCAGGGTCAAAACTCCTCCGTTATTTCAAACCTGTCGTTAATCCCACAGATAAAAACTAGGAGCTGAGCGGTTTCCTTTACGTCATTACTTTTTTTACTTTACCATGCATTATTTTAAAAACTCACCTTAGGAGAAAGGCTTGCTAGCATAATTAGCATTTAGCAAAGTGATGGCTGATATTATACTCTTTGAAAACTGCAACAGTTTCTTGGCATATATGCAGCCTTTGATTGGACCTCAGTGAGACACTATTTTGTTGTCCACGCCGTATTAAACACTTAGCACTCACTGTCCACTTTTTTCTATGATAAGCTTGTTTTTAAAGAAGGGTTCATAGGGCAAAGCAAAAAAGTGAAAAAGAAGAATAAGATTACTTCATCTGGACCAGTTTTTTTAAGTGAGAAATGTTTCGTCCTCCACCCAGAGGACTTCCTCAGTCTAAGTCTTGCCAACCAGATGTGTCCCATAGGTAGCCTTTACAGCTGTGTTTCAAGCCAACCTCCTGTTGGAATCTCAAAAGTAGGCTTTTAACACATGCAAAACACACCCATCCAAGCCAATCAATCATCATGTACAACAATCAAATGTTTAGAAGAAGATTACTGTACTTCAATTTTACTTTACCTCCAATAAACGTTAGTGTCTGCAGTGCACCATCTATTGGGGAAATGTGGTACTACAGGTAAAACTAAATCCAGCTTTTTTTTTTTCTTATTAAATGCAGTTTTTTAAATGTAATTTGGATAAGTTTGACAGGCCAATTAAAAAGTCCAACGGAAACCTGCAGGCCGGGGTTTGCCTATGCCTGTGCTAGAGGTTTCTTCTTCATGAGGGAGTTTTTCCTTTCCACTGTCACCTTCATGCTTGCTCAAGATGAGTTCTGTGATGAAGTTAAATTCAAAGCAGTCTGCTCCTCAGATAAATAATGTTAACTTGTTTTTTTTTGTATATAAGAACGTTTCTGTGCAGTGCCCTGAGGTGACTTCTGTTGTGACTTGGTACTATATCAGGCATGGGCAAACCCCGGTCCGCAGACCGTATACTTATATGTATACTTATACCCATGGGGCTTTTTAATTGGCCTGCCAAAATTGTCCAAAATTTGGACAATTAAAAAAAAAAAAAAAAAAAAATTATATATATATATATATTTTTTTTTGTTTGTTTGTTTTGTTTTTTACTTTATTTTTCAGGGGTGCTGAGTTAAAATTTAGGGGTGCTTAAGCACCCCCAAAAAGGTGAAAATCACCACTGATCCAAATTATATTTAAAAATGGGATTTAATAGGGAAAAATTCCTGCTGTCGTTTTACCTTTAGTTCCCGCATTTCCCTAGTAGAGCCGCACAACAGAAACTTGCGTGTAATAGAGGCAAAGTAACAGTGGAGAAGTAATTTCTTCTTCTACACTTTTATTTTTAATTTGCCCTACAAACTCCTGTAAAAATGAGTTTATCAAACAAAAGACAAGTGTACAGTGAGTGCCAAGTGTTTAATATGGAGTGAACAACAACATATTGTTTTACTGAGGTCCAATCAAAGGCCGTTTTTATGCCAAGAAACGGTCGCAATTTTCATAGAGTACACTTTGCTAACCACTAACTATGTTAGCAAGCCTTTCACCAATGGCATTTTTTTTAAAATTTTTTTTTAAGAAAGCATGATAAAAACAGAGCAGGTCTATTGTGTCCTGAGGGCCAAGATAAGTTAGGAAAAATCAGTTTTTCACACAGGACTGTGACTCGCCTTGTGGAACTGATTGATGAAGATATAGCTATCAAAATAAGCTAAAAAGCAGATACCGTTAAGTTACGATTTGTTAGCACTGGACGAAAGTAATGATGTAAAGGACTGCTCAGCTCCTATTTTTTATCTGCGGGATTAACAACAGTTTTGAGATAATGGAGGTGTTTTGACCCTGAAGTCTATGAAAGGAAAAACACGGGGAAAGGATTTTTGTAACCACCTGCTGTCATCGAGAGAATGAAGCTTCTGTGGAGAAACAATGTCACAACGGACACATCACCAAATTTAAGTGGAAAACATACCATACCATACCACTTTATTTATAAAGCACTTAAAACAGCTACAAAGCCAACCAAAGTGCTGTACAGACAAAACAACAGGTAACACACAAAGCAAAATACAAAATGAGGTAAATCAGAATACAGACAAAAAACGATGCAGATAATGACGACAAACCAGTTTGGAGCATACAGGATCAAAACACAGATCATCTGGTGTTGAAAGCTATTGAAAAGTAGTGAGTTTTTAAATGGGACTTAAAAACCAAGAGGGAGGGGGCCTGTCTGACAAGCAGAGGTAACTCGTTCCAGAGTCTTGGTCCTGCTACAGAGAAGGCCCTGTCACCTCTGCGCTTAAGACGAGTTCCTGGAACTGTGAGGTGCAACTGGTCCGCTGACCTCAGGGAGCATGGTGGGACATACGGTTGTAGCAAATCAGAGAGATGGGGGGGGGGGGTACTGTTCAGTGATTTGTAGACATACAGGAGTATTTTGAACTGGATTCGAAAGTGAACCGGTAACCAGTGCAGTGAGGCCAAAACTGGTGTAATGTGCTCTCTTTTGCCTGTACTGGTTAAAAATCGGGAACAGATCATCTGGTGTTGAAATCGGGCATTCTGGACCAGTTGTCAAGTCAAGTCAAGTCATATTTATTTATAGAGCACAATTTAAAACAGATAGACTGTTATCAAAGTGCTTAACACTAAGGGTAACACTAAGAAATAAAAAGCAGTAAGAATATACCTTAAAAATTTAAAACAACAGCATTAAAATGAAGACATGGAACAAGATATACTAAATCAACTCACACAGTATGAAACGCCAGAGAGAACAGATAAGTTTTTAGAAGGGATTTGAACACAGGAAGGGAGGTGGCATGCCTAATGTTTGGGGGTAGGTTGTTCCACAGTTTGGGACCCATGACTGAAAACGCCCCATCTCCTCGGAGCTTCAGTCGTGTT